AAGTAAACCACTGAAGGATGGTTCCAGATAAGCCAGCCTCAAACTCAAGCCTGTGTAACAAAACAGAGTGGTCAACCATGTCAAAGGCAGCACTATGATCTAGAAGCACAAGCATTGTTGCATTCCCTGAGTTTCTCAAGTATATTATTTGAGTCCAGATACGATTGAAGTTGGGCCACAACTATTCTCTCAAGAATTTTAGTTATAAATGGGACATTTGAGACAGGCCTTTTGCATCCAAATTTGGCTTTTTATGGAGCGGTATAACAACCGCTACCTTAAATTGATCAGGTACAACGCCTGATGCAAGGGACATATTCATCTTACTAATTATAGGTCCTGCTAGTAAGGAATCTGTGATGAGGCGAGTGGGGATGGGATCTAGCAGACGTGACTTTGTCTTAATTAATTTCTTGAGTTCTTGTTCATTAACTAATCGAAAAACACTAAAGAGGTGCTCATATTGTTTCTGTACCAGACTTCTTTGCGGCTTATTTGTTTGTGTTTGACATGTGATGGTGTTAATTTTATCATTAAAAAAGTTCATGAAATTGTCACTACTAAAGTTAGATGGTGCTATAGAATCAGTCTTATTAATAAGGTTGCGAGGGTCATTTTTATTGCTATCTATAAGTTCAGAGTAGTAAGCCGAATGAGCTCTATATAGGGCTTTCTTATATTGCTGTAGGCTATCAGTCCATGCCGACTTGAATACTTGCAAACCAGTAAACCTCCATTTATGCTCCAGTTTGCAGCACTCCTGTTTAAGGGATCGTGTGTGATCATTATACCATGGAGAGTGTTTAGTGGTTTTGACTACCTTAGTCTTCAAATTTCATCAAGGGCCTGTCTGACCACTGTATTATAATTATGTGTGATTTTGTGAACATTATTACTGGAGATGAAGCTAGCATTGTTCATCGTGTTCATGAAATTTAATGACGTACCCCCGTTGATGTGTCCTGTTGTAATAGTCTTCTCCTTGGCAGCTATCAAGGGCAGTCGAATCTCAAAAGTAATTAAAGAGTGGTCAGAAAAAGAGTAATTGATGGGATGGACTAGTACATGAAGAATAACAGCTCTATGAGTGATTCATCCTCCATGTAGTTGAATTTGCTCAACTGTTAAAGTACTTTTCAGGACTGTATAAACTATCAACTTATAGTAGATTCTGTACCTTCGTCTTAAATCCTCTCAGTTTTAATACTCAACCTTCATGAGAATGGTCAGCATGCCATCTAGGATAAGGACCAATCCATTGTTTTATTTTTCTCAGCCACACCACTAACAGCAAAGCCACTAGTTTGCTGCTTATTTTTAAAGTTGGTGGTCCCAAAAACAACATGATTGTACTGTTAATTCGTAAAGCTGTATTTAGTTGACCGATCCATTGGCAGGAAAGGCTTCCTAAGATCTCTCCCACCTTCAACTAATTACAAATTACTTACTGGAACCAGATCTTAGGGGCATCTGTCAACTTCCTGTCATGGTCATACAATCCTTCTCTCAGGAAAAATGTTAGTTCGCAACACAGCAAATGAATTTTTAGTTTTAACCACATTAGTGGGATACCCAAAGCAGTATCTGGGTTTATAATTTGTCACAGTAAGAGAAAATATTAGATTGGATGAAAAGATGTCTCAGTTGCATACACAGGATTTCATTCTAAAGAGAAGGTTTATGATGGACCAGAGAGAAAATGCTTTAGGAATTTAACGTGATAACCAATCTTGGCAGGTTAGCCCTGTTCAGTTTATGTAGGAGTCAGTCCGGTGATACTGAAACAGTTCCTCTTCCTAAGCAAGGCTAAGGCTATTTGAGATCATGTGTACTTGCAAAAGTATTCAGACCCTTCTTGTGCTGTCCCAGTTTGTGAAAGTGCAAACCATTGCCCATCTATCTTTTAATCTTGTTCTAAACCTGAATGCTCAGACTGAAGATCCCAAGGTTAGGAAACCACATATAATCCATGCAAAAACTGAACAGAAACTCAAACCTTGATTACATAACTATTCAGACCCACAAAAAAAAAAAATTGCTGGAACTACGCAAATAAGTTTACCATCTTAACAGCACATTTTCCTTTAAGGAAAGGAAGTGCTCTCATGTGGCTTGGGGATCACTTATGCACTATAGTAGTCAAGTTATCCTTCCACAGAGTTTAAACAGGATTCACATCAGGACTTTAAATAGGGTAGTTTGTTGGTTTCACCATCACCCCATAGCAGCTTTGACCTTGTGCTTCAGATTGTTGTGATGTCAAAAGGGGAGTTTTTGTCCTTCATTTAAATCAGAAGATTCTCAGTTGGGATAACTTCGATTCATTCCTTTCATTCTCGAAACATTCCCCAGTCCCTGCTGAAAAGGGGAACTATAATCACAAAGCTGCTACTACCCTGCATGACTGCAGGAATGCCGTTAACTAATGCTGGATTTGTAACCCTGCCTTTAAAGGCTTCAGGTTGGTCCTTCGACCACATCAGAGATCCTCATCTTAACCTTTTTTCAAGAGCATAACCTAAACTATGACAGGGTGCTTTCAACCTATTGATGGGTAAAGCTCTTTAAAATGGTTAGACATGTGCACAGAACACTTATGGTTAAATGAGGCCTAAACACCTTGACAGAGTATTGCAAGTCACTTTCTAAATAGATGGTTACTTAAGGCAACTGCACCATAGTGAAACTAGATTTGGAAGAGGAAAGGGCTTGAGATTGCACCTTTCCTTTTTAGATTTGATTTCTCAAAGCTCAACATCATAACATTCAGTGTTCTAGGAATGTGAAAATTGTGCAACATTTATAATTTCTTCCAAACAGCTTACTAGGCCGCCATGTGTTCAAATCAACACACAAGAATAATTTTGCCCACAAGGTTTATTGACATACAAAACCCATAACTTAGTGCATTAATTTAAATGGAAAAGGCACTTGACTGAATGTGAACTACTGTGGAGACAGTGAAGGGTGAGGGAATCTAACAATACAGGCACTTTTAAAGCAGTCTCTCCCCAGTTAAAAAAAAAAAAAGCTCAGGTCATTAAAATTTTGCCTTGCAAAATTCTTCCATCATAGCAGTTTTTTTTTGCAGGGACATGCGAATTCACTCCAGTTCATCATGGTGTTGGGTAGCTTCCTTAATCACCTGCCAAAAAGAAAACCCATTTGAGAAGAACCAAATAGCAGAAAGAGGTTGGGGAGCAGGCACACAAGATATAGGCTGAGCTGTAATGGTCCTCAATTTGCATTGAACCAAAGTGAATCCAAGGAAGAGACACTGCGTTTCAGCCAAATACTAATTTGCTTGTGGAGGGAATAGAAGTCTAGGACATGTTTATTAATCTGTTGGCCAGGATTGCCCACTTTTATCCCAAACTACAGTCTTGGCCAGAGATTAAGGATATAACAGCCATCATCTAGACACTGGATGTATGGACTAATATTCCAAAGAAACTTTAATACAATTAAAGTTAATAAAAACTGCTAAAAAGGTAGTCAAGGAATGCGAGGTTGGAATTGTCCAGATGGGAAATTAGATGGTGCCTTCTCAAATTGTGGAGTGTCTCAAGTGTATAGAAGTCAACATTAGGGAGTTTTGCATCTTTCAGATCATTCTGGATTCATTGGAAGGCATGTCTAGAATTACACACTATTGCATGTGGTCTCAAGGAGTTTAGAAAGGATTT